TAATTCAAAATGAGAATTGAAAAAAATGCAATCTTGATAAAATGGGACTTAAACATGGGCTGATCTCAACGAAAATTATTATTGTTGTAACTTCTATAATTTAATCAACAAATCTTGTCCTGATTGAACTTTGCCATAAAACATATCTTTATAAGCTCTGCAATAAATTTATTTTTGTACTCTAGTGATTTACTGCTTTCAAAAATCAATCATGTTACGTGTACACTTTGTTTGATATCATTTTGATATTGTGCCAAGTGTCGTAATATGAGTGGACAGTTTTAAAATGAAACATACTTTTTCACCTATTTCAATTTGAAAATTAATAGAATGTCAATCATAATATAAACAAAAGAATGTACAGGTGGTTTATTCCTTCAAAAATCTCTTTTAAAACATTTCCTTCAACTTTATTTGCCTAATAGAGTACCAAAGAGCAAAACTTGGAATTGCTCGACAAAGTATAATAATAATTCAGTTATTTGAAATCGACTAGCGCTTAAGCATCATTGCTCGGGTGAAATTCAAAAACAATTTAGGAGAAACCAACATTTTGAAGATGTCACAAATTCAAAGGGAGACAAAGATTCCTTTCCATTCTTTGTTATCTGACATCGCCTTTTGCCTTTTTCTCAAATTTTTTTAACGGCTATTCATTGCCCGCCCCTCAGTCAAAATTTGAATTTGCTCTCTCTCTCTCTCTCTCTAACCCCACCACAATCAAAAAGTTACATTTTTTTTTTCTTTCCAAATAACTGGTTTCTTGTTCTTGAACACTGTACCACTGCCCCCTCTCGCCCTCTCTCTCTCTCTCTCTCTCTTCGCTTCCTCTACGATATCATTCTAGGTCCTCTCTCTCGTTCTACCTTTTTTTTTTTTCCTTTGATTATTGACTTTTCAATTTGCCGTGAGGGATAATGGGTAGTTGTTTAAGTAAGAAAAGCACGTCTTCTTCTTCTCCTGGTCCAATTTTAAAGCAACAAGAACAGATTGCATCCAATGCCCAATTGGAGAAAAAGAAGGCTGAAGAAGAAATTGTGAAGAAAGAGGTTTTTTTCATGAAACACCGGAAGAGCCACGAAGTCGAAAGGCGGTCTGAAGAGGAGAAGAATGAAGAACGAAAGGACACAGATGTGGTCGAACTGGGGAAAAATTCTAGCCCGATTAATGAAATAAATAATGATTTAGCAAATGGGAAAGGTGTTACAATGGCAACTCCAGTGAGGACATCAAGTTGTACTAAAGAAGAGGTGGATGCTATTTTGATACAATGTGGAAGGCTTAGCCGGAGTTCATCAACCGGAAAAGTTGGGCTTTCAGGTTCCGGTGTGTCGTCAGAAAATGCTGGTAATCTTCAAAGGGGAAGAAAGTACTCTTGTTCAAAAAGGAGTTTTGATTTTGATAACGAAAATGGTAGCGGGGGCCAAAATGCTGATGGAGACAATGATGGTGTGATGAGGGGGAAAGAGCACCGCCACAGACAAAGCCAACGCCAGTCCAGAACTGGTGGCTCCGCCTCTCAGGGGCGGAGGAGGACCCCGAGTCGAGAAAGAGACCAGGCGGCGCAGCAGCGCTCCGGCAGCAAAGAAAGAGGAAGCAGTGGGGGTGGAAGGAGGGTAAGCAGATCTCCTGGTAGAAGATCTGAATCTCCAATTACTACCTCAGCTGGTGCTGATTCTTCGGCTACAAATTCTAATAATGGCAGTTGTAGGCCGGGAAAGATGGTCTCCGTGCCTGCCACTGTGTCGTCTTTGGCAATGGATAAGAGTAATAATGCTGCTCCTGGCGGTGGCGGAGGTGGCTCGGAGCCTAATTCGACCGCGGCTATTAAAAAGATCCAAGAAAAGAGAACTGCTGTTGGGGATTCGGCTGTGGGTTCGAGGAGTGCTGCTTCGCCTCGTAATCGGTCCCCTGCACGGGGTAATGTCAAGGGATCGAATGATAATTCCAGTCAAAACCAGCCCGTGTCCCTTAGCCGAAGCAATTCAAGAAAGGCAGAGCAATCTCCTTACAGAAGAAACCCCCTTAGTGAGATTGATACCAACATTGTAATGGAACAGACGCCTTTGCCTGCAGGAGTTAAATCTGTGGACAACATTCTGTCACAGGTAGGCATTTATAATCTGAAGTATCTTACACAGAAGCAACTATCATGTTCAAAGGAAATGATAATAATTCATATTGTAGCACCTCTATTAGCTAGTTTTGAACCACGATGTTTAGAAGTTTAAGCAGCTAAGAAGACACCTCCTACAGGCGGATTCTATATCTATGAAAAGCCTAACACGTTAACACGTGCACAACTTTTCATAAATGAGTGGAGGGAAGACTTGAACTCGAGACTTTTGAATGTTGTGATAATAGTAGTTGAACCACTTGGTCTAGGAGTTTAAGTTGATAGAGGGAACTAATTTTATTAATTTAAATTGTCTTTTACAGCAAGGACTTGAGAAATGTTTAGTTGCAACTTCTTTTACCTTTGAGTTACTCTATGAAATTGAGGGACACTGGATATTTCTGCTACTATAGTATTTCTGAAAACCGTCTTTCTGAAATGGCAACACGAATGCATTTTACCCTTTTGTATGAAATTGGAGTCTTGAACTTGAATACTATAAACGTGTCAAAAAATTGGATATTGAACTAAATGGATGAGAAAAAGACAATAAAACTCCGTTTCTCAAATGCAAGGCATCGTCTGGCATAAATTGAAGCTTCATTGAACCGTTATCCATTGCCATGATATATGTTGAGATTTATGTGTGAGGATTCAAAGTTTTAATAAGGGTCCGTTTGATTGTAAAGATGAAATTGAATTGAACTGAAAACGAATTTCAGGGAATTGAATTGCCTAGAAATTATTTTTCTGGGAATTGTAAATTATTGTGTTTGATTGGTATAATTTTTCACGTGAAAAATGTTGAAATATAAGTGTTTTTTATGTTAGTTTGGTTTTATTTTACATAAAAATTGTCAATTAAAGGGATAAAATTTCTGGTATTGGGTATGAAATTTGTTTCCATTGCCAACAAAAAAAAAAAAAAAATCATCTATCTTTTGTTGTTCGTTTGTCTTTGTTTTACATGGAAATTGTCAGTTAAAGGGAAATATTTTTTTACAATAATTTTTAAAATTTATTTCCATTACAAAAAAAGAAAAAAAAAAAAAGAGTCAAAGTAGGGTGGAAAACCAAGAAAAGAATAACTTCCAAGACAATCAAGAAAATGAATTCCATGAAAAAAAAGTGTGCTATCAAACATTACAATTTGGGTGGAAAATGGAATTTCCATGGAATTGACCCTATCAAACACACCTTAAATATTGATCCATACTATATATTCTGAGAAATAATTTCATAGGTATATTATCAAAGTGGAGTTTAGAACTAAGTGAATTTTTATGCTTCAAAGTTGTTCGTGTCATTTATAATAAGTACTTCGAATTGCAGAGTTCTTGCATGTGTCTTACCAATTAATAACTTGATGCTTTTAGGTTCATACAGAGAAAGCAAATGCAGAAAATACAAGAGCTGAGCACAAACTTAGCAGCAAGAAAATATATCACAATTTAGTGAATTGCAAAGCCAAGGAGCAGTCTCAGTTGATTGTAGAAGAGAGTAAGTCACAAGGAGTTGCAGGCAATTTTGCACTAAATAAGGCAACTTCGGGGCCTGAAAACCTTAAACCTCAGACAATAACGAGAAGCAGATCCTTTAGACTATCCCAAGACCTAGACAACAAGCCTGAAACTCCGCTAGATCCTACTCCATCCTACACTTCACTATTGCTTGAAGATATCCAAAGCTTCCACCAGAAGAACGCCCCGACCTCTGCCTTTACTCTCCCACCTAGTGTTACTAAAGCCTGCTCTATTCTTGAAGCAGTAGCAGACCTCAACTCGAGTACTGGTTCCAACTTGTTTGGTATTTCCTCAGAGGAGAAAATGCGAAACCCTACTGCTGAGCAATTCGTTCGGAGTGATGAGAAGACAAGATCAGAGACCAAGAGGGAACCCATCATGGAATCTGAGGTGGTTGCTAATGATGATTTGATACAGCCAAGCTTTCACAAATATGTAACTGTAAGGAGGGGTATGGTTCCAAGGGATGAAGACTTGGAAGAGCAAGAATCATCAGGCAGCAACAGCTTTGTGGGCAGTCAGGAACACTGGCTCTCTTCTTCGTGGGAGCCTAATTCGGTTGATTCAACTGATCGTTCGACCTCTTTAATGCCACGTAGCAGGCAGAGTAATCAAAGTCCACTGTATAATCAGAGGCACGCCGTATCTAAGTTAGGTCACTAACATATTGGAATCAGAGTTGGATCAAGAGACATTCACAGGACACCTACGTAGTCGTAGATATTTGCTACTCTACTCATTCGTAGGATGTTTCTTTCACCAGTTCTATTCTTGTTAACTGGGAAGTTTAATGGTACATTTTGAACATTGTTTGATGGAGAAACAATCACTACCCATCTTTGCTGCAGTTCAATACTTCACAGAAATGTTGGTTAATTAGTGGTTTATTTTATTTTATTTTTCTTTTTTTGTGGCTTTGAATTTCACTTACGCAAGCATTGCACAGGTTTATAGGCAAGAGGGATTCTAAATGGAGGAAATTAAAATATAAATAGTGATATCATGTCTAGAAAAAAAAAAGTAGATATTATTTGATTGAACAAGCCAACAAGGTATCTCAATCCTAAGTCAACAAATCTTTGACCCTGGTTGCAAAAATTTTTAAAAATTGGAAAATATCTCTAGTGAAATTTTAATGAATATAGTACTAATGTGCGGATCTTGCATTCAAGTAAAATAAAAATAATATAAAATTTTTTATGGGTAATTAGCACAAAACGTTACTACCTTTTTTTTTTTTTTTTTTAAAATTTCATCCTCACCTTTTATAGCGGAAAACGTCCTTCCATCCACTCATCATTAAAATGCTACTTAAATCAATTAAAATGGAATTTTTCTTTTCAAAAGGCAAGGGTAACATTGTCCAAACCTATTTCACTACATTTTATTCATGAAATTCAAATCATATTTTATAATAATTCTCTAAATTCAAAGCATATTTTTCGTATCATTCCTTTGCTTTCCCAAATTTCACTGTAAAGGAATAGAAGGAAATATTGTTCATTCAATGTAACATTTGATATAATGAAGTGCTTACAAAAAGAAGCAATTATGGGGGAAGATAAAGGAAAAGAGGCTGCTAATTAAAATGGCTTTATTTATAATTACTTATTTTTGCCTTTTCTTTTTGTAGATACAAGATGTTTGGGAAATTGGAGTTTGTAAGAATAATGTAGAAATATATCATTTGAATTTTGTATTATAGCCCTTTTTTGAGCCCCATTTTGGACGAAAAAATGAATTTTTGAATAGTATATTGATGAAAAATATGTGGTTAAAAAATAATGATAAGTTTTAGATTTTTGTATAACATTATTTTATTGAAAAATATGTGGTTGAAATGATATCAAAATACTATAGAAAAATATTTTTTTTTTCTAAATAATGGGGCTCAAGCAAGCTGATACTTTGTTTAAATGTGTGGTTGTTCAACCTCATTTTGTGCTTATGAAGGGTGTAAATAAAGGATAAAGTGAGAAAACCAACTAAAATGTAATTCTGTGAATGGACGATACATATGAATGGAGAAGATGAAGAAGATGAACGGGCCTTCTTTCTTATTTAGCATGAAATTGAACTTGTGGTAACAGTCCTTATCTTTATGTTGTCTTTGCACAAAAACATTCTTACCTTTAAATTGACATTGCGTAAAATATCCCTGCCTTTATTAAACTTAGGGATGGTTTGCAATGCTAATTTAAAGGAAGGAATGTTTTGTGCAAAGACAACGTAAAGATAAAGACTATTACCACAAGTTCAATTTCATGCTAAAATGGAAAAAATGCCCGTTCATCTTCTTTATCTTCTCCATTCATATGTATTGTCCGTGGGAAAAATTCACAAGTGAGAGATTAAGTATGGTAGATTTCAAAATTAAGGAAACAAGTTTCACAATTCAAAAATCAGATTTTTATTAAAATTTATTTATCATTTAATTATTTTATTAATTTAATATATTTAGGTCAGGATTTTTGGTCACAGTTATCTAATTAATTAGTCATGGATTAATTTTTAGTCACAGCTTATCAAATTATTGATCGTAATTTATTTATTGGTCACAGATCGAAAATTTTATAGGTCACAGAATATTTTTTGATCACGAATCCAAAAATTTTACAGGTCACAAATTATTTATCGATCGCATATCAAATTAATTTTTAATCACAACTTATCAAATTATTGGTCATAACTTATTTCTCGATGCAGATTATTCATCGATCACATATTTAAACTTTTGTTGATCACAATTCATTTACTCATTGCAGATTATTGAATTAGTTGGTCACGATTAATTTTTCGGTCACAACTTAATCAATTGTGAGTCACAATTTTCAAGTCACATATCCAATTGCGAGTCACAAGTCACAATCGAGAGTCACTAGCACAGTTACAATTTTCAGCACCACCACATGTCCACTAGCATCTCATCATCACCGCCACACGACGACCACAACCTACACCAAAAAAATCACCAAATCTCACACTGGACTCCACCACCGCACGTATCAATCACACACACCTTCGCACACAACCCACCACAACCGAAATTACAAATTCATTATCATCGGTCGACGATTACAGTACCCACCGTTGCAACACACCTCTATTTCGCCATCACCACCATCACACAGATCTGCTTCACAAACGAACACACCATCGCCAATCTGCTTTGCCACCATCACAGATTTGCTTCGCCAACGAAAACACCACCACTTGGAACAACACAAAACATCACTAGGTTGTGGGAGAAAATGTAAAGAAAGACGACGGGCGAGGACTATGATTCTCAAGAGAGAAGATAGAATGGAGGAGGCGACTGGAGAAATGTAAAGAGAGGGGGGCGAGTTCTAGTAGAATGTGTAGAGAGAGAGTTGAAATTGATTAGAGTTTGTGTAAATTGTAGTATATATTAGTAAAAAAATTTATTTAAAAAAATTTAATTGAAATAAAAAAAATCTGGTTTTTGAAAGATGAAAACAT